GTCAATTACAATTGCAACAAATGGTTCTTGAAAGTTCTGATTTAACATTTGTGTAGAAACATCAATACCTGATAACCAGCACCCATAACCAGGATGACTATGATACCAACCAATAGCATTTTCTTGACGACCAACCTAAATAATTTTCTTATTCTTAATTATTCCTAATTAAAATTGAATACGATATTGTAAAAGAATTTGTACTTGTTTAGCTGCATCTATGTAAGCAGTCATGTATTCATAAGCTTGAGCTTGCGCATTTACCCTAGTTTCTGTTCCTTCAACCGGTAAAGCAAATGAATCCATTACAAGCATAGTATTTGCAGTAACTTTACCAAGAAGCAGACCCATTACTTCAAGTGTCCCACCAGAACGAGCGTGCATTACCATTTTTAACAAAGCCAGAGCAGAAATTTTAATGTCTTTAAAAAAATGGGGGCTAAAAAAATCAAAATATTTATTAAAATTATTCTAAAAAAATAAAATTTTTAATATATATGTGTGCGTGTATACGTATAGTTATTTTACATGCATTATTAGACTTGATCTCTATAATTAGTAAAATGAATGATATTTAAATGAAATAAAATATTTTTACAAATTAATCACACGTGTGTATGTGTGTGTGAGGGCGTGTGTGCATAATTTTAGTCATACTCTTTTTCCCATGGTTTTGCTGCTAAAATATCTTGCTGTTCTTTCCTATCATATCTATAGATTTCATCAACAGTACTAATTGTTTCAATGTTATTTGACATTTCCCATGTTTTTTGAGCGATAGAACTTTGTTCACCAGAGAAACCTGCCATAGCTATGAATAATACATACTTTAATTAAATAAAACTTTCGCTTATTAGGAAGTATGATTACAAAATTATATTAATATATTGTAACATCATAAATAATAATTATAATGTTTATATTAATAATATTACACTTTTCATTACCTTTTACTATTTTTACAAATCACTCGTAAATAAATATGGCCGAAAAATACATCAATCGTAAATTAAGTGATAACTAAATACTAATTGTGAATTGTGAACGAAATTTATATAATTTATAAGTAATAAAGTAACCAGTACGCCAGTGATTTAACGAAATAATGTCAGAGTTGTTACAAGGTAATATGGAAACTGAAATCTACTCAAAGGCAATAATGCAGGTTATGTTGTATATAATATCGATATAAAGCGCGAATATTGAAATTATATTACATTTTAAATAGATTTACTTAAAAAATCTATATAAATTAAATTTGAAATTTTTAAAATTATAAAGTATAATTATTAATATATAAGTAAACAATATAAATCATTTTTTTCACAATCAATTAAGATATTTCCAATTGACCAAATAAACAAAAAACTGAATTATTTAAATAAAATATATTTAAGACAAGGTGTGTCATATGTAAATCTGTAATATATAAATAATATAAAATTAACATTTTCCTTAATATAAATTCAATTTAATCTAAAGAATGTTAAAAGACTCATTCATTTTTGTCATCTTTGACCATTTAAATAGAACGAAAGATGAAATTTAATTTTTATTTTTCAGTTATTAGTTAATTAGTAATTCCTTTATATGTAAATATTAGTTATAATTTGGCTTTTTTTTTTAAACCACAACTTTATTTTGGAGTCTTAATATTTTGTATAAAAAAAATCAATAAATAACATTTATTTCTTAATGGAATACAAATAAATTTACAAAAATAAAATTGTGCTATTTCTATTAAAATATTAACATAGAATATTATATAAATATAATTTTACTATGAATTTCAGCTACAGCAAAATAGCAAGCTAAATTCATGTAATTACATATGTTTCATATTTTTAGCAAGTAAAGATTGATTGGCAAACAGTGATCATGAAATAAATATTATTACAAGTACAGATATGTTCGAATGTATTTAATTATATTTAAAGTATTTTTGACTTGTCATTCTCACTAAAAATTAATGAACCAATTATTGACCAACACACAAATATTAAAACTGGTATTTTTTAACTATTTTTAAAAACAGTATGAATGTATATTATCTTCTTAGCTTTTATATAACGATAATACAATAATAAATAAAATGATAAAAAAAATGTTAAAAATGCTTAATGTTTGTTATAAAAATATTATTTGATATATGGACTGCAATTATAAGTCATTAGCCGTTAACGTGTATGCATACATAATTTCAGCTGAATGAAAATACAGAATAATTTTATGATTATGCATTAATTTCATTATCATTGAATATTCTTTGTTAATGTAAGTCTTATGGCGCTTGTCTTATCTGTACAGCTTCCAAAGCCATATTAAAAACGGTTTTGTGTTAATTAATTTTGCTTTAATTAACGTACTTTATTAAGCATATAAAAATATTCGTTTAGTTTTTCACTCCTGTTATTTTTTAAGTTAAAAATGGTCATTGTACATTTACGTATTGTAAAAAATTCTTTTCTTTATCAAACCTTTTCCGTTTTATCTAACGGTATTACGAAGAAAATTACAAATCAACATTATTTCGTAACTATGTTACTTTTAATTTAAGAATATATTCAAATTCAAATCGCCGCTACAACAATAATGAGCATTCTACATAGTTTCTTTATATAAGAAAAATTATTATTTTTTTGTTTTGTTTCACATATTTTTATCATTTGATATGATTTAATGAAATTAAATTTAAATAAATGAAATTCCACGAAATATTACTTTTAAATAAGTTTGAACTGCACAATTGTAAATTGTATTAAACGCTAGTACAAAATAGTACAATTTTTAATTAAAAATTTATGACAAATTATTAATTATTCTAGATTATATTTTACTGCGATACATTAAGTTTTTCCTTTAGTATATGATTGGATTTTAAAATCTTAATATGCAAAATGAAATAGTACCGTATCCATAATTTTGAAAAGCTTTAAGATATAAAATAATGACAGGATGGTAAAAATATTAATCTATTTTATTATTGAGTACATGACAAGAATATCTTTAAATGTAAGTACAAACATAAATTAACGTCGATACATTATATATTTAAATATTGGCGCATCATACAACCAGGTATTTTATTTTTGACGAGTCTTTCGCGCGATTATTTAATACATCAATACAATACTGTATCTGTAATAAAATTAAGCACCAATAATAATTATTTGTTTTAAAAATTTCTTCAAATTTTACAGTCGTGAAAATTCTGAAAGACATATCTACAGTAAACGTACGCTCACTGACAAACCTACACAAACGAATACTCTCCTGTAATCGTTTTATACAATATTTCGCATAAATAAGATTACATGTACGAAGCACTTTGGTTATGACTCGTTATGTACAACGATGCGCAAATCTACGAATAATAAAACGTCCGACATCATTCTCCCGACCAAAGAGAAAGCGGGAAGGTGCCACATACTTAATCGGGCATAACGAAGTCGCGTACACATGATACCTAATGCGGCTATTCTAATTGATATAGCCGCTACTTAAGGATAGGTAGAAGACACACACGATGATAAGCATCGAATCGATGATAGCCCTTGAAGACGAGGAGATGGACGGCAGGGTACCTTCCTCGCGTTTTCCAGCCTTTATGCTGCATACGTCACCGCACTGCTCATCCTCGCAAATGTCGCAGAGCGTTGTCATCTTTGGTTCGTAAAACACCCTCGCACGTCTCGCTGAAATAATAGCGATCAATGAATAAAAGTAGCCTCTGGTATTTATGTCGCTAGTTCCCATTGTTTACTTATGTGCTATTGTAAAAACTGTATCTTATGATAAACTAAGCAAACAAATATTAACATTTAATGAAACTTTAATTATAAATATTTCTAATAATGATACATTTGTATAAGTTAATTCTATGTAATATCAATTTATAATATATAATATAGATATAATACTTAAACTACTATTAAAAATATCTAATACAATGACTTACATGAATCATAGTAGTCATAAATTGATACCGGAACAGGCTTTTGCTTAGCTACCTTATGCGTTCTATACGCAGAGACCGTTGGGCAATATTCCTTATCATTGACCATCTAGAAATAAAACATAAAATTATATAAAATAATTGTAAGTACTTCTTTGCGGAATAAACTTGAAATCAGGTGTAACATAATTATGTAAAAAAATGCTTTTCATTACATTTGTTAACAAATTAAGAGCTTATCTAAGTTTCTTGAATAAATACACTTATTGACTTAAATAAATAAATTTCAATTTTTGCACACACTAACTTTGTCAAAATATAAAACAACCATCGTGTCGCCATTTTTGGTTTCTACCCTCTTGACGTTCTGTGATAATTCTAAGCTTGGTAAGGCATCTTGATCGACGGTAAAACCTGATGGAAAGCTTACTTCCATAACAGCCATGTTGCTCTCATTTACTTCTTTTGTCGAGATGAAGCTATTTATGGATTTCATAGAAGTTAATCTTTAGATTTTAACAATTTAATATAAAACGTATAATAATCTTTGTACGTGAAAAATTATTTTAATTAGTTCTTAACGAGCATTAAAAATATCGTTGCATATTTTAATTTAGTCAATATAATACCCAGAACAAATAGAAAGTTGCAGGTGATCATTCGTAGATATCGTGTCAACTTGAGGATCTAATGTAAAAAGTGGAAAAGCTCCAGTTACATTCAGATTGTAGCGCGAAGAAAGTTGTACAAGAGCGAATCCAGTCCCACTAGCAGTAATATTGATAGAACGAGTTTTCCCGAATAACTAAACAGAAATAAAAAAAAATTTGAACATTAAAAAGAAATTCAGATCTAAATTTTACAAATTTATATTAATAAAAAAAATTTTAATAATTAGAGTCAATTTTTAATTATTATTATATTTATTCCTTTCTAATTAAATATATAGATAATGTAATTTTATATAATCATAGATTTTCTTAGTTCTTTTTATTGTTTTATGTTGGATTTTTCTTTTTTTTTTATATAATTTTTGCTAGTTCAAACTTAATCTTTTAACGGGCTAAATTATGTAAAATATAGTTATAACATGAGATAATAATTAAATTGAAATCAGCAGTTATATTAAAACTTACTATATGTTTTTGAACGATCATGAAATTTCTGGAATTAATATTAATTTCCTTCTGTTCTCCAATATCTGTTGTAATTCTTAATTGAACGTCGTACACGCTTGTTCTCATCTTTTCACCTAATTTTGCTAGAGCGTATAATCCAACCACTGTGTCCTAATTAAAAAAAAATACTTACAATTTTATTAATATAAGTAGTAAATATGATTACAAGTAGCAATATACACCTTAAAACTTAATAATTTCTATACTATTAATTATATTATAGAAACAAAGCATTGAAAAATTAAACTATTTTATAGAGGTATAATTTATCACATTTGGGACAAGTAAATTTTAGGATGTCAGTAAGAAAGTACGAGTCGATAAAATTAATAAAATTTTAATAAAATGACAAATACCGCAGATACCCGAAAGAGCACTTGATAACCATGAACATCAAATAATCGGAAACGATAAATGCAGTATGACAATTCAATAAAACTTTATCTCGAGGTCCTTGATTTAGCTTCTTATGTTATCGTCATATTTTACAGTCGTACCTGGGTGGAAGAGAAGCCGCCCTCGACGTTGCGCTGTTTTACGAGCCACTTCATGATGATGGTAGCATCGGAAAGCTGATTCTTTCTCAGGTACGTGAGCAGCGCGTATGACGTCATCTCCACGTCAGCGCTCCTCGACAGCACGTACCAGGGATTCTTGTCGTTCTTGGGTACTGGTTTGCTCCACCATTTCTGCCCATCCTTGATGGTCGCACGTGACTCCAATAATCGAAAGGCCTCATCTTCATAGGCGTTGCGCGCGAGGCTTAGAACGTAGGTGCAGATGCTCAAGGCGTAATTATCCTCGAGGTTCTGCATATTGCGCACCACGTACTCCACGCCTTTGTAAATAACATTGCGATAACGACTCTCGAAGCTCTGTTAGAGAATCATATAATGCCGATAAGCATCGAAATATTGCAATCACTGATGTAACAAAAGCTTTAGCTAAACTACAACAATATGCGGGCAGGTGGGGATAATAAATTGAAAAATGAAAAATGCTTTGATTATCAAGCCAAAATTCATAAATTAATTTAGAGTTAAACTGTTATTAAAACTTTAAGAATGTAAAGTAAGATGAAGATTTTTTTTTTTGATTATTAATTTCTTCGTCAAGAAAAAATTTTAAATATGAAAGCTTCTTCTAATACCCATAACATTTTTATTTTAAATCTAAATTTTTTTTATATAAATTGTTAGGATTTTCGTAATAAAAGAGTATGTTTAATTTAATTCGACGTACCTCAGCTTCTAAAAAAGCACTAAGAACATAAGCCGTTAGAGCGAGACCTTTTCCCGCTCCGCCTTGCATATCGCGATGACTAACAGTTCCTACTTCCGGGAAACTTCCGTTAGCTGCTTGTTTTTCGGCAAGCCATTTCAGTGCATCTGACACAATTTTTTCTTCTACTGTAATATACTTTTCGGCTTGTTTGAAGGATTTGGCCACAAATGCCGTTAACCTGATTGCAAATAAATAGACGATTAAACATTATCAATTATTATTTATAATTGGAGATATTGAGCCTAGGAAAAGAGTATTGTCCTTTATTTTACTTTTTGCAGTCAATTATTGCCTTCCTTATTATTGGTACTTATTTACTTATTTACTTATCATCATCATTTTTGTTGTTATTATACCTGTATACTCATTCTTATAATATATTATGCATGCAATTATATTTCGCTCTAGAATAGTAAACAAAAGTAATAGTAAATGATAAAACGAGTTAGCTACAAACCATGTGCTACCACTTGGATCAGTTTTTCCGAAAGCACTAAAAGATCCATCTGCATGTCTGTATGTTAATTCTTGTTGGTAACCGGTTTCAAGATATCGTATTGCTTTACTTTCAATAGCAGGCGAAAGTTGATTTGTGTTCTAAATGAAGTATATAAATTTGTGAAATAATGCAAAATATTTTTTTACGCGTACGCATGTGTATTACCGTTAAGTAATCTAGAATGACAATATTTGGTACAAAGTTAAGCATATTTTGTTCACCGCATCCAAATGGCATTTTTATCAGTTTTGCAAGATTCGGTATACTTGGCCCCAACATATCACCTATTGAAGGAATGTTTTAAACTTATATTTTATTCATTATTTTGTATTAATATATTTTATTAAATAAAAGTAAATATTACTTACCTACGGCTGAGATTTCAACGTAATCGGAATCGGAAACGAAATATTTCGGAATATTTACACTGACGTTGGTTTTCATCAAATCGGCATT